ATGAATTAATGTAATCTACAGAAAATTTATATATTTTTATATAAATAAAAATACAGGCATATGTATGTTTACATGCACTGATTATTCAAAAGTTTATTTTTTAAATGTTTATAGTCAGCATAATGCTTGGTGCAGATCTATAAAAATGCTTACTTATGTGAGAGTCAGAGATAGAAAGTAGAATTTTTTTCACATTAGATTGTACAGTGATAGAGTAGGCCACATGCTTTTATAGATAAGTAGTGTTTACTTGACTTACTATAAATATATTACAGTAAGGATTACAAGGAATTGTCTACCATTTCCCAATTCCACTCATTTCTGTTTGTTTCATACCTAAGGCAGGTACGATCTTCTAAATAAATAGTTAAATGACTGTTCACATCTGATGCACATTTTAATCAATAGTATCATTCAAATAATGCATAATCTATTGTGCTGTGAGCACATTAAGATGTTGTTTGCATGAGACACTTTTCTGAGTGGAGGGTTACTTAGAATGTCACAATCCAATCAGCTAATCCTCAAAATTAATCCCAGGGTGGTGTGGGACTAAACTAACCACCATGTCAACTATGGTTGAGGGAGTTTACAGACCATAAACCTTCCAAAATTTACAGAAAGGCTCCACAGAAATGGGAATTTTCTAAAAAAAATCTTTTTCAGTATCTGTTTTACTTTTCTCCAGTCACCCAGAAGAAGGTGAAGCAGAAAGAGATGAGGTGAGTTTGCCTCCTCTGATTCTGCTAGTAGCTGATGCTGATTGCAATCAGGCTACAACTTTTTAAAGGTTTAATTTTTAAAAAGGGGGGGGGATGGGGGGAAGGATGTACAGCCTTGCAACATCTTTTTCAACATACAGTGTAACTGCAAAAATCATACAACCGAGAGGGCCATCCACAACCATAACCTGCCAGCATACAAGGTGAGTGAGTTCATTGCCATAAGGAAAAACTTACACCTTCAATCATCATAATTCAGAGGGCTTTAAGAGTCATTTAGACATGAACATTTATCCTCAATTTTCATAATGACCATTTACAATATGTACTTTTTATACCCATTATTTCATTTCCCACTTCTGCTATTCTGGATTGTGGATATGGGATTGGTCAGAATGGTCTTTCAGGGGTCTCAAAATATTTTAGCACAAAGAACTTCAAGATTTCAGTCGGAAGCTTCCCCCATTTCTCTGAGGGATATGTGGCTGGACAGATTTTGCTGAAACATGTCCTTGGGAGTTCCTGAACAGGGAAAGGAGTAGCTTACACTACCTTGATATATTTGAGGGAATTAATGTTGGAATGGTGATTGAAAAGGAAGCAAAGCAATGATTTTGCTTGCTCTGGTACTCTAATGGTACTATGGATACCCCTAGAAATGTGATGTACCGGAATTAATAGAAGGGTTAATATTGTGAACATTTGCTTATGATAAACATGAATATATGCAGAAATGACTTTTGTATCACAGAAATATCATCAAGTCTTCAATGACCCCCTTCCAAGAAACTAAAGTGATGGCATTTCTAAAATTTTGAAGAGGGTGCAACAAGTGTAACAATACAGTAGAAACTGCTGAGCACAGACATGTTCAAATTAGATTGTCAACTTTTCAGACTCTATTGAGTGTTAATCAACTTAGCCATTTTCTACACTTAGCTGGAGATATAATCATATGCACAGGTGAAATATCCATTTAATTTCTTAGAAAATTCTTCAAACGTACCTGCTTTTAAAGCCAATTTTTTGTTTTTTGCTTTTTCTGCAGTTAACTGTCATAAACCCTAGAGGTCCTCACTATATAGCAAATAAGTAATAGTTTCATAAAGCATCCCTTAATTCTTCTGTATGCAGTGATTACTATTTCATGATTGCAACGGGCCTACAATATATACTGAATTAAGAAAACAATTGAAATTAAAAAGAAATCTAAAGAGAGAATTTAAGTCCCAGGTACATAATTGCAGCAATTCAAATAGTTGATTTAATTTAAAAACACTGATATACTTTTGACTGCATGTTTTCATATTGAATATATCTCAAAAACTAATTTTCATTTTTCTCAGGGTTGCTTCTCAATGCAAAAAGTGATTTACTGTTATAGCTGATAATTTCTTTTTGCTCTTTTTATTTAATGGCAGCATCTATGTGATCTTGGCTGATCTTAGAAACCAAACAAGTTCAGGGTTAGTTAATAGTTGATGGGGAATGACCTGGGAATTCTAAGGCTGCTGCTGGAGTGCAAAATTGAAAAAAAAAACATCCTGGAAGAAGGCAGTGGCATATCTTTTCCATAATGGTATCAAAAAAAGTGTACGGGTGAAGGACAAACAGGAGTCAAGCTTGATTTGAGAGTCTGTTTTTTTTAATTGCAATTAAAAGCAATTCTAAGCACATCTACTTTGAAATTTTAGCTACTTCCAAGTAAGATTTTGTCAGAAAAACAGCTGATCAGGCTGTTCCAACAAAAACAACAGGGAATCTTTTGAGACTTTAAAGATCAGTACTTATGTTCTAAATTTTTAGGGAGGTCTTTACCTAAGGAGCATAGAATAATTAGCTTGCCCTGCAGAAACTTTTGATCAGAATCATGGAGCACACTAAGATAAGATAAAATTCAGCAATTTTAATTTTTCTCCATTTTATTCCCCTTATTTTCTTCCAAATGCCAAACCCTTTAAGAACTCAACAAAAATGTTTTGAAGATATTCAGTTCAGAATTGTGCAGGCAATGGTTTTTTCTATGACCCTCTATGGAAGTGAACATTGGACTTTCAAGAAGCAGGATAGAAAAGTATTGACACTTTTGAAGTTTGTTGTTGGAGAAGACTCCTGAGAATTCCATGGACAGCCAAGAAAACAAATAAATAGATCATTGAACAAATCAATCCAGACTTCTCACTCAAGACACAAATGACCAGGCTCAAATTATCCTACTGCAGACACATTATGTGAAGGCCTAGGTCTCTTGAGAAGTCTGTAATGCTGGAAAGGTAAAAGGAAAGAGACAAAGAAGTTGCCCAGCAGCAAGGTGGGTGGGCTTAATTATAGCAGTAATGGGTGCACCACTGGAAGATCTGAAGGAACAGGTTGTAGACAAATTGTCCTGGAGAAAATCCGTCCCTGTGATTACTAAGAGTTGACACCAACTTGATGGCACATAATCAATCAAGGTCACCATAAAAATCCAGACAACCACTAGGTTGGAGCAAAGTAATATCAATATCTCTTACCCTTTGTTCCTACTTAGTGACCATCTGGATTTTTGCAGACAGAGAGGGTAGCATTATGCATGTCTATGAGATGCAAAAGCGGGCATTCAGCTTGATAATTAAAACAAAAAACTCTATTCTCCTGGCTCCATCTCTAGGCAAGAAGTGATCAAATATGAAAAATTTAAAGTGTGAATCTGGATGTCCAATTAGCAGCAGCCCACTAGTGACTCAATAGCCTGCTCATCTCTCCTCCATCAGTTAAAGGTCAATACTAGTCACAGTAACTAGATGGCAAATAGGGAACAAATTGTGTAAAACTCTTTTACATTGACGTATTGCTGCCAAAACAAAATCTGTTTGGAAAAAAAAATCCTCTTATAGGGAGTAAAAATTAAGAGTATTTATTATTGTAATTGTTATTATTGATCAGAGTCAGTGTACTTCTACAGAATAAAAATCTCATTTGATAATGAAGGCTTCATTCTAGATACTTCATTTATATCCACTTTAAAGTTACTTTTCAGAATGTTGGTTAGAAGCTGATTAAAGAGATGGGTTAGTCCCTGTTTGTGCTGACAACTGGACACTGAGTGTGCTTTTGCAGGTGGGGCACTCAGAAGGCCTTCCCCCAACTTGTCAGTCAATCTACTGATAATGTTACAACTTATAGAACAGAGACCAAAATACCCAGCCATAATTACCTATTTACTTACATCATCGTTACATTTGGAGAAAGCAAAGGAACAGCATTCAGGTGGGCATCATTGCATTCAACTTCTAGGCCATGGCACGTACATTCTGTTGGCACAAAATCTAGCACTGGATAAAGAGAGCAGTTGAAAAGAAGAAAAAGAAGTTGCATGTGTGTATACATACACATGTACACACACATTTATATTCACAATACAATCATGCATTGCTTTCACTTCTATGTGTATAACCTTGAGATGCTAATCAGAGGTGCTGCTCCTGGTGCCCCTGCATGGAATTAGTGGCTATAAGGAAGCAGGTGGTTTCTCAGTTTCTTCTGTCATAGCTGCTCACTATCCTCAGAGAGGCATAGCTGCCATTTTTAATTTATTTATTTATATTCCACCTTCAGAGAGTCCAAGGCAGTGGATGTAGTAGTACTTCCTCCAATTTTGCTACAACCACCATCAATGGGTTGGCCCGATAAATAACATCTGGTCCACAATGGCTGAGGGTAAAACTGAACTTTAGCCAGTAGAATATACTATTCCCCTTCCTTTCCAGTTAAGTAAATTTGTTTTTATGTTCCTTTTTAAAGACTATGAGCATGTGAATTTAATGTTTTTCACAGAGGTTTTTTTTTGGGGGGGGGGCTTTTCTTGTGCATGACCTAACATTCCTGAATGTCCCAATCTAAGTATAGATGAAATGAGATAACTATCGGAACCAAAGCTTTCTTTCACCCATTCCTGTCCATAAAGAACTATGGATTATGTGCAGTGTTAAATGAAGACAACTGCAGTAGATAAATAGTGGGGAAAGTATTTCAGAGAAAAGATAAAAGTACTGTATATGAAAAGCTAACCAGGCTCTTGTTCCTTTTTTGCTGCCTAAAACGTTTTGGCCGGCCAGTGAGTTTCATGCATCAATTGATTACATCCACTTTTTTCAGCTGTCTTGTACCTTTTTCCCATCAAATAGGTTAAGGTTAGAATTAGGGTTATTGATTGATGGTTGACAGTTATTTCTATTAATTTTTGTACCCATGCTGTAATCACAACAAGGATATTCCACCAATGGATTATGTCTGTGGTGGGCAAAAAAGAACAAGAGCTACTAACCAGAAGTGATTTACAACAATCAAAAAGTTCCTTTCATCCTGTCTGTGGTTCATTTTTTTCTAATGCTTCATTTGCAGGGTTGTCCTTCTCATTTAATAAAGGCCAGGACAGGAAAACAGGACAGGAAGAACTGCCATAGTCCTATTCTTACAAGAATCTGTAGTGTAGCACTTCATCCATTGCAAGGGACAGCAAAAGGCAGGACATTTCTCTTCCACCCATCAGAAATGGTGCCTATTTGAAAATATACTACATAGTGATAATAGTCTAGCAAAGTCCTCATGTCTAATTATACACGAGCTTGAACTAGCTATGGTTTCTGCTAAGGATCAGGATTACTATTAAGGTAAAGTGAGGTAACTGATTCAGGGGGCCCATGCTGGTGGGGAGGCAGAAGTGGCAGATTCCCCACCATTCTATTTGAGCCCTCAGCTCTTTCTCTTTCTTCTGCAACATTTCTTTGATTTCAGGATCTCTCATCACATCAAGTGAGCCCAACTTCCAGAAAAATCTGTAGCTGTCACACAGTAAAGCAATCTGCCTTGGACAGGAGTTGCCTCAGGACTCCCATATAAAGTGGGAAGGGACAACAGTGTCTGCAGGATATGGCCAGAAAAGTCAAGATGGTAGCCACAATGGTACAACTGAAGCTCTGCCCATCTATGTGTAGCACATAAAATGGGTGGAGCTTCGATTGCACCGCTGTGGCTGCCATCTTGACTTTTCTTTACCATAGCCTGCGGACATCCTGGAAGGAACTCTGAAGATAGAGGAAAGCAGTCAAGCAGCTACCACCCGAGAACCCTATCTCACTGGACTTTTCCCCTCCTGGACCATTACCACAAATGGTTCCATGTTTGTGATTTATTTGTTTTAAAATAAAAGATTTCTAATGTTATTTTGAATCTACAATAATTTATATTTTTTGTAAGTTGAATAGAAAAGATGTTTATCCTAAAAGGGTATCAATCATTGCAATAAATAAATAAATAAATAAATAAATAAATAAATAAATAAAATTT